TAGTAGTAGTAGAAGTAGTAGTCGTAGTCGCAGTCGTAGTCGTAGTAGTCGTAGTAGTAGTAGTAGTAGTAGTAGTAGTAGTAGTCGTCGTATTAGGAGTAGTAGTAGTAGTAGTAGTAGTAGTAGCAGCAGTAGTAGTACTAGTAGTAGTAGTAATACTAGTCAAAGTATTTGTCGTAGTAGTCGTAGTCGTAGTAGTAGTAGTAGTAGTAGTAGTAGTAGTAGTAGTAGTAGTAGTCGTAGTCGTAGTCGTAGTCGTAGTAGTAGTAGTAGTAGTAGTAGTAGTAGTAGCAGCAGTAGTCGTAGTAGTAGTAGTAGTAGTAGTAGTAGTAGTAGTAGTAGTAGTAGTCGTAGTAGTACGCCCAGTAGCGGCACCAGTAGTGGCAGTAGTCGCACTCTCGGGGTCTTCTGGGGGGCAGTTTGAGGGCATATTGGGAGCATCTTGGAGGCCTCGTGAGAGCCTTTTGGGAGCCTTCTGGAGCTTCCTGGGGGCCTCTCGGGGCCTCTCGGGCCTCTTGGGTGCCTCTTGGGGACGTCTTGGGGCCTCTTGGAAGCCTCTCGGGGCCGAGGGCTCGAAATGTTCGTTGGGGCCCCCCGTCGGGGCGCCTTCTTGGAGCCGTCTTGGTGGCCTCTTCGGCCATCTTCGCGGCCTCTTGGGCTGTCTTGGGGCCCTCTTGGGTAGTTTGGGGGCTCTCTTTGGGACCTCTTGGGCTGTCTCCGAGCGTCGGGAAGCCGAAAAAGGCGAGAACGCTAAAATCTTTCAAACACTAAATGAAAATCAATGGATTTTCCCTTTTCGAGCTCTTTGGGAATAGTCTTGGAGGCTCTTGGGGCGACTTGGAGGCCTTCTGGGCCGTGTGGAGGCTATCTTTGACGTCTTGAACCGATCGTTCGGCAATTCGGGGCCCTGTTGGACCATGTTGAGGGGCTCTTTGGTCACTCCTGGCTCGTCTGGAGGCTTGCGTTGGTTCTGGGACCCCCCGAGGGAGATGGTATTCTGACCCGGGACCCCCTCACACACATCCTTACTTCCTATGATTAAACACCCCCACATCCCCACCTAGCCGTCCGATAGCAACCCCGCCGTCCGACTTGTCCAAAAACAGCACAAAGTCAATTTATTCCTCGCCAACATGTCGTCGAGTTGCGAAAAGTGTAGCAGGAATGGGACGGAATGGGCATCGCTTGCGTGTCCGGAAGCGGGTTGTCCCGTCCTACCCATCAGAAGACGATGCAAAGTCAACGTTTTTCTCGTCAGCATGGATTTTCTTGTTGTCGACGCTGCGAAAAGTGCAGCAGGAATCGTACGCGTCGCACATCGCGCGCGGACGCCTGGCCAACCCTACGCGGGACCCCCCGTCCTACCAGTCAAAAAACACTGCGACGTCGACGTTTTTCTTGCCAACATGTACTTTCTCCTCGTCGGCGCTGCGAATCGCTTAGCTGGAATGGGACGCGGCGCGCATCGCGCGGGGACGCCTGCTCGTCAACATGGACTTTCTTGTCGTCGACGCTGCGGCCCGTCGGGTTGAGGAGCAGGGCGGGCGGCAAGTCAAGCAAGTGCGGTTCGCCGCCGGCGCGCCCGTTGTCGTGTCCACGTAAGAGAGACCTCTCGCAACCGTGACATTTGGCGGCGCACTTCGCGCGCTGGACATGTTGTCGCCGACGATGCAACATGAGAGGCCGGAGCGGGGCGCGGCGTACATCGCGCGCGGTCTTGTTTCTCGTTGACGTTGCTCAATGCGCGGCAGGAGTAGGAGTGTAGCTGCCCATGATAGAAGATGAGCGACAGGCGTCGGGCGCGACGCACTTGCTTCTTATGTTGTGGGAGGGCGGGTGGGAGTGGACGGAGCCCTCTGGCTCGTTCGAGCTGGCTAACTTGACACACGCACACCCCTAACCCCCCCCGGGGGCCCCCCCACGTCGGGGAAGGGGTCGAAGGGAAGGGGCTGCCCTTCGACTAAATTACGACGTTGCTCAATTTGAGGTGGGGGGCGGCGACGGTTTGAGGTGGGAAACGGCGACGGTTGTAGGGCAACGGCGACGACAACGGGGAGGGGAGCAGCGAGGGGAACAAGAACCGTGGCGAACAGCACTGGGGCGGGAGCAGCGAGGGAGGCAACAACCACAACGAACAGCCCATCCCACACGCCGGCTGGGTCGGCGGACTTGGGTTAGCCTTGCAATAATCCAGCCTCTCAGGCTCCATAGATTCTGCAAAGATCACCTCGATGCCACCCCGAGTTAGTTCGGGCCCCGTCGGAATGTACTGCAGCATGCCCCAACAGGACCACTTCACTTGCGTGAGGGATATATATAGAGAGAGAGAGAGAGAGAGAAAAGGAGAGAGAAAGAGAGAGAGCGAGAGAGAGAGAGAGAAAGAAAGAGAGAGAGAGAGAGAGAGACAGACAGAGAGAGAGAGAGAGACAGAGAGATCGAACAAGCAAACGCTTCTGCGGCTCATGCCCGGTCCTCTTCCTGGCAGGAGGATCGACTCGCAGTCTGGCGAGCACGCCACCGGCAGCCCAGACGCGGCGGAGGACTCTGCCTGCGTGGCCGGGCCCGGGGGCCGCGGCGCTGCCCCACCATGGCCGGCCGTCTCTTTGCGCAGCCGAGCTTCGCGGCAGGCGTTCATCCACCGTGTATGTTGCATCTTCGGGGGGCCTGTCTTGTCCTGTAGATGCGGTCTGTTCTTGTACTCCGACGTGGGTTCTATGCGGGTCCCGCGTGGATTCGGCACGAGTTCGGCGCGTCCGGAATGGAGTCGGCGTGGATTCGACGCGCATCGCGGCTCGACGGGACAGATAAGGGTCCCCAAATATGCAAGAAAAACCTCCGCGTGGGAAATCGATCAGAGTGAAGGGGCCGAACGGTCATTCATTGTCTCTGGGTGCGTTGCAGAAGTGGCAGCAGTCTGTCTGGAGGATGCTGCTTGCTGTCGTCGTTCTCGCCCGCGACCCGCCCGCGACCCGCCCGCGACCCGCCCGCGACCCGCCCGCCACGGCGCCTGGCCCCCGTCGGCCGAAGAAGTGTTTGGCCGAAGGAGATCACTGACCGACAATGCGCCCGAAGTTGTGACTGAAGACGTATGTAGTGGGGCGACCGAGATTGTGCTGTACGTCTGACGTGCTCAGCGGCTGAGCTGGTCTCGTCGGCCATCGTGGCCGATGTGCTGTTTCAAAATAGTTCAGGCCCCCAGGGGATCGCTGACAAAAAAAAACATCGCCACGTGCTCGAACCAAGAGTTTCGGTCACACCCTGGCGCGTTCGGAGCATCACAGGCGCCGCAGCAGGGCACTCTCGGGCAGATCGGGGCTCGAGAGACGGGGGTCAATGCAAACAGGGGGTCAGGGAGCTGGATCTTGCAGCATCCTGCAGGGCCAGGGGCGTACTGACCCGGGCTAGCGCGCAGGATCCCGCAGGATCCTGCGGGATCTTGCAGGATCCTGCAAAGCCTGACTGACCCGGGTCTGGATTGACCCGGGTCAGTGGATCCCCGAGCAGATGGTCGGACACAGTGGCGGCCGTTGCAGCCATCTGATGGTTTCGAGGCTGCGTGACACTTTTGGCGCCCCACGACCCGCCCCGCGCCCGCCCCCTCGGCCTTGTCCGCAATTGCGGGGTGCCACTCTTGCCCCAGACGTCGGGCGTCTTGACCAACATCGAGACGGCAAGCTGTTCTGTTGCTGCGGCCTCCGGGGCCGTCAGAAAACAGGTCGGCATGAGACACGGGCGCCGTGGCAGTGGTCGAGACGTCGGGGGGGGGCCGCGCCTCAAACAGGAATCGAGGCGCCGGATATCTGGGTCCGGGGTCTTGGCGTGGCGGTGGGTATGTCTTGGTTCCCCCCCCGGGCCCGAAGGGATCCATACCCACCGCCTGCCGAGGTCTCCGAAGATTGATCTCTGGGCGGTTGTTGTGAGCGCGCGGCGCCGCGCGCTCCTGTCGGGCCCGGGGGTCCCAGAGAACGTGCTGGGCCGGGATATCCGACAAGACGATCTGTTCGATCCAGGCGTGGATTTTTGATTTCGAATCTGGGGCGAAGAACCACTTGCAGGGGAGCGATCGGGACCTCCATCCAGGGTCGCCAGATCCGCGAGTGTCCGTGTGATTGCAGCTTTTCGCGCGCTCGGCGTCCGGGTGGGGGGGGGGCCGCTGCCTGGGCCCTGGGGGACTCCCAGAACGTGCCAGGAGGAAGAGAGGAGCCCGCCTCGAGGAAGGGGCCCGCGCTATGAGCAGCTCGGTGATGTCATCTGCGTACGCGTGTGGCGCCGATTTGTCGAGTACTGATATCTGTGGTGTGTGTGTGTGTGTGCTGGTTCCATCTTGGTGCCCCGCTATGTGTGTCTCTCATGCCTGTTATGACGGCATCTGGCTGGTGCATGCCAGTGGCATGTGTTTGAACCGTGCGTTCGTGATGCATGGTCTTGGTGTCTGTTCTCGATGTTTTGTTTCGGCGCGAGTTTGGAGTGCCTGTTCTTCTAGCTGTGCATCGATGCTTCCTTTGCACCTCCAGGGCCCAGCGAGTCGAGATTCTCGGTAGACTCGGGACAACTGGGGCTCAGCGACCGGGGTCTGCAGGGGAAGGCGTGCGAGGCGGAGAACGCGGGAGAGTTGGGACCACTGGGGCCCAGCGGCCGAGGTATGCAGGGCTGGTGTGCAATCGAGTTGCCCGAAGACTCTAGACCGGCGGCCGCGGTATGCAGGGCTGGCGGGGCGCAACATTCAGGGACTCGGCTCTGTGGGGCATGGCGTCCGCGGGTTGTGCAGCGGTGGCAGGCGGGCCAAGACAATGCGCCAGGCTCGAGTGCGCGGATTGGCTCAGCGGTGCGAGCGTACCCCAGGTGGCCATGAACACCGTCATCGCCAACGAGCTGTCTGCGAGCCCATGGGCCGCCTTTCCGTTCGACGGCATCGTCGGCTTGGGCCTCCCGCCCCTGTCCCTCACCCCGGAGTTCAAGGGCATAAACACCGCCCCTACCCTGGTTTACGAGGCGCTGTGCGCTGAAACTCCTGTGGGCTGACAGGGTAAACCCTGCATGATGTGCCGCGTCCTGGCGGCTCTAGGCGTTGGGGGTTCCCAGGAGGTCTACAGACCACGCACTTGTGACCCAGGGTAGGGTCGTTTTTTCATCCCTCGAGGAGTTCAGCTTCTTCGGCGCCCTCCACGCCAGAGGGCTCCTCCGGCAGCGGCGCTTCGGTATGTACCTCGCGGAGCCCGCGGCCTCCCTCCCCCCCCCTGTGCAAGGCACCCGCCAGGCGGGCGTGCGAGAGCAGGACTCGGCGCTGCGCGGTGACCCAAGCCGCAGCCTCCTGCCCTCACGCTCCTCCTCTCTTCCGCCCATCGGCGGACGAATTGAGATCATACGCGAGCTTTCGGAGGTCCGCGCGGAGTTCGTGGGTCGCGCTGGACCCCCCCCTCGCGGCGCCTCTGGCGACGCCCCTGGCGCGTTCCGCCCCTGGCGCGCTCCGTGCATCAGGCAGGGGGGTCCAGCGCCGATCCAAGAATTCCGCCCGGACCTCCGAAAGGTTATGTGTGTATGTGATGAACCTCAGGAGGTCATTATTCAACCCTCCAGTAATGGTCCCATGGATATGATTATCCCCAAGGGGCAATTGAGGGTCGCCGACACCCAGCACCAATCGGCAAGCACTTATTCCGCCGCCGGCGACGACGACGGCTAGGGTGGAGGAGAAGGAGGAGCCAAGGTAGGAAGAAGGAGGAGGAGGAGGAAGTGGAGGAGGAGGATGAGGGAGGACGAGGAAGTGGAAGAGGAAGAGAAAGAGGAGGAGGAGGCGGAGGAGGGGAAGGAAGAGGAGGATGAGGAGGAGGAGCAGGATGAGAAGGAGAAGGAGAAGTGGGGGGTTGAGATGGATGATAGGATCAGGAAAAAAAGAGGAGGAGGAGCAGGAGGAGCAGGAGGAGGAGGAGGAGGAGGAGCATGAGAAGGAGAAGGAGGAGTAGGGGGTTGAGCAGGATGAGGAGGATGAGCAGGAGAGGGAGAAACCGTGGCTCCCCGAGGCCCGGGGCGCTCCGGCGAAGGCCCTGCCCCTGGCGCGCGGCGGCGGGGGTCCGCCCGCGGGAGGCCTGCGGGAGCAGACGTGTCGGCGACCTTCTCTCACGCAAGCTCGAGGGGGCCATGCAGCACGGAGGGGGGCGAGGAGGGACGAGGAGGGAGGACGAGGAGGGAGGGAGGGAGGGAGGGAGGGGGACGAGGAGGAGGAGCGGAGGAGGGACGAGGAGGGAGGACGAGGAGGGACGAGGAGCTCGAGGAGCGGGGGGGGGACGAGGGAGGGAGGCCGAAGGGAGGCAAGAGAGGAGGAGCACCGGCGCGCTGGGCCCCTGGGGCTTTCGCGAGAGGCGGCTCGCGCAGGGGTCCGGGCTGAGACACCCGAGAAGCAGGGCTCCTTCTGTCAGACCTGATGGCCAGAGATCGGGCGCGCCAGTCCGCCAGCGACGCGAGCCGCTGGCGCGTGGGGTCCCCCGTTCGCTGAGCGCGAAGCGGCAGCAGCGGCTTGCGCGCACAGGTTTGGCCACCCCGCTTCCCCCGTTGAGCTGCGCACCAAATGTCACTCTTGCCTCAGGGTCACCCCTGCATGTAGCTGATGCACGTAATCGCCAGGGTGGAAGCAGGTTCTGAGGAAATCGGATCATGAGGTTTTGTCGCCGTTTTGGGCTTCCAGCGGCCCTCCACGGGCCCGGGGACTTTCAAAAAACAATTCAGGGTGAAGATTCCGTCTTTGGCGAAGGCCCCGGGGTCCAGGACCCGTTTCCCTCAGGACCCGTTCCCCCCATGTTAACGTAAGAGTGACCTTTCGCCAGAGTGACCATTAAATGCGCCGCACCGAGATGCGGGCGAGTGACAATGGGGGTGACCTGAATGGGTGGTGAAGGACAGGGCCTTCAGAACAGCTGGCGGCCCGAAACAGTTAATTAGGACGGCCATTTGCTTTTCGAGATGGCCCCGTTTGGCCAGTGTCTCGGCTCTGGGGCCGTCAGGAAACGCCGCTCATTGACCCTTCGCCATGGTGACCTTGTTCCCTTCGGGTTTCGATAACATGTATACATACACACATATATATATATATATATGTATGCGTATCGTTCTTTTGCTGTGAAATTGTGCGACTGTATCTAGATGCGCCGCTCCACAACTATGCATCTGACATCCTGTACCTTTATTCCTACATGTTTCGTGGGGCTCTGGTTTTCTTCCCTGCCGCGTCGCACCCGCGTCTCACACACCTCCCTCCCTCCTCCCCTGCTCCACCCACATGGGACATACGTCCAGATGCAGCCGCACTCTCATCAATCATACACATGACACGCACATCACGCAGCACACGGGCGCAAGATTCGCAAGGCGTGGCAGGCGTGGCATTTACTCCACACCACAGGGGGTGTGCAAGGGGTGGTCCTCCACCGTGGTCTCTATCCGTCCAGGGGTCGCGGGGCGTGGCAGGCGTGGCATTTGCTCCACACCACAGGGGGTGTGCAGGGGGTAGTCCTTCTCAGCGGCCTCTATCCGTCCCGGGGTCGCGGGGCGTAGCAGGCGTGGCACCTTCTGGACACCAGAGGGGGTGCGCAGGGAGTGGTCCCTCACCGCGGTCTCCATCCGTCCCAGGGTCGCGGGGCGTGGCAGGCGTGGCACTTTCTGGACACCTGAGGGGGTGCGCAAGGGGGTGGTCCCTCACCGCGGTCTCTATCCGTCCCGGGGTCGCGGGGCGTGGCAGGCGTGGGACTTTCTCGACACCAGAGGTCTATCCGTCCTTGGGTCGCGTGGCGTGGCAGGCGTGGCATTGTCTCCACACCACAGGGGGTGCGCAGGGGGTGGTCCGTCCCCGCGGCCTCTATCCGTCCCAGGGTCGCGGGGCGTGGCAGGCGTGGCATTCTCTCCTCACCGCAGGGGTGCGCATGGGGTGGTCCCTCACCGCGGTCCCTATCCGTCCAAGTGTCGCGGGGCGTCGTAGGCGAAACAGCATTCGGAGCCCAGAGTTGGGAGGATGTCCTGGGCGCAGTTGGCCAGACCACCTCACACGCGGCACCTCGGAGCTCAGAGTTGCGAGGAAGGCCGCAGGCAGAAGAGGCTGGACCTTCAGGTCTCCAAGCCCAGAGTCGCGAAGATGTCACAGGAGGTGCGAGGATTTCTCAGGCGAACGTGGCCAGACCACCTCGCGTGTAGCACCTTCGAGCCCCAGTGTTGCGAGGATGTCTGAGGCGCAATTGGCTGGACAACTTCTCGCCATCCGTGAGCTCTGAGTGGCGAAGGTGTCTCATGCAGAATTGGCTGGACCACCTCAGGTCAGGTCATCTCGGAGCCCCAGCGAGGATGTCCCAGGCGAAAGGGACCGGACCACCTCAGGTCAGGCATCTCTGAGGCCAGAGTTGCAAGGATGTCTCAGGCGAGACGGGCTGGACCACAGATCAGGGCATCTATGAGCGCAGAGTTGCGAAGATGTATCTGGCGAAACGGGCCAGACTACCCTGCGCGCGGCATCTCGAAGCCCTGAGCTTCGAGAATGTTCCAGGCGAAATTGGCCAGACGACCTCGTGCGCAGCATCGTTGGGCTCAGCGTTGCGAGGATGTCTCGGGCGACATTGGCTGGACCACCCCAGGTCAGAGCATCTCTGAGCTCAGAGTTGCGAGGGTGCCTCTGGTGAAAGGGACTGGACCACTCAGGTCGCGGCATCTCGGAGCCCAAAGTTGGGAGGACGTCTGTTGCAAAATTGGCCAGACCACCTCAGGTCAGGCATCTCTGAGGCCAGAGTTGCAAGGATGTCTCATGCGAAACGGGCCAAACCACCTCATGCCATTGCCCAGAGTTGAGAGGATGTCTCAGGCGAAATTGGCCAGACCACCTCAGGTCGAAGCAACTCTGAGCTCAGAGTCGTGAAGATGTCTCATGCGAAAGTCTGTTCTGCAGGGCGGCGAAGGTAGCAGTGTTCGCGAAACTATCGTCGCCCATAACTAGCAGCACAGCGCGGCAGATCCGAACAGAACCCAAGTCAGCACAGCTGTCTGGGGAATCAAGCGAATTGTATCCAAAGCCGCCTCTGGCGCGTGCCAGCCGTGTGTTGGTTGGGATCCGGTTACGTTCAAGCTCGGAGATGCCCTGACGTAAAGTGCTCTGGAGTATTTCTCCTGACTCGTCCTCACACCTCTGGGTTCCAAGATGCGTTTCGCGAGGTGTTCGAGGCTGAGACATCCTTGGAACTCCGGGCTCTCAGATGCCCCGGCTTGAGGTGCGTTGGCCCATTTCGCCTGAGACATCCTCACAACTCAGGGTTCCTAGATGCTGTTCGCGAAGTGCTCAGGCCCGTTTCGCTTGAGACATCCTCGGAATCCAGGAAAACCAGAGGAGTTCTAATTTCTTCGATTCGCGTGCCAGCCGAGCGAGCTCGAGTCAAATGCACTGGCGTCGGGCGGCGTATACTTACCACATCATGGGCAACCTTGTGAAATATCGAGTGGCGTCGGGTGGCGTCGAGTTGCCGCCACCCGGTGTAAGTGTGTTGTTGTACTGTAGTATTCACTGTTCGCTTCTACCCGAGTATTCTTTATTTCGTGATGTTCTTTTCTGTCCTTGACCGGCAAGCGTGACGTCGTGACTCCTGTCACGTATGATTCGTCACCTGTTCTGTTCTGTTCTGTTCTGCAGTTATTTCTCTACCTTCTACTTTTTATTAAGCCATCAGTGGACCACGGGTGGTCCTGGGGATGTTGCGAGAGCGGTCTGCTCGGTGGGCGCGCTCTGAAGTGTTCATAGAATCCAGCATCCCCAGCATGTCGGGTATGGAACAAACGTATACGGATACAATCGTAGATCGGGACAGTCAACGGGATAAACCATCTGGACAACCATCGGGACAACTATCAGGACAACCAACGGCGCAACCAACGGGGCAACCAAAGGGGCAAACATCGGGACAACAGGAGGCGACGGCCCGGGCACGGGTGGGGTGGGGGTGGCGACTTCTTTTGTGCTGACTTGGCCCGTAATATTGCAAGAACTCGCGCAGCTTCGACTCGCCCGCACGCGCGTCACGCGTCAAACGAAGCGGTTCCTGGGTGTGGCAACTCACGTTTCACATCGGCCTCACCGCCCCCAACCTCTGGTCTATCGATCCGTCTAGCTATCTATCCATCCATGTATTGATCGACGGAATCACGGCACGGTGGGGGGGGCAGCGGGGGCACATCGTTTCTCGGAGGGGGCTGGACAATAGCCGGTAAGGGAGACGCAGAGAAAATTAGACAAGTTGTGGGTAATAATCTATAGTTCCCGAGCGTTCCGGAACGCTCGGCAACGGCCGCGGCGCCCGATATATCTTCCAGCTCTCAGAGATTCCCAATACATCCTCGTCCGTATGTATGTTCCTCTTGCCGTCGTCTTAGAGGAGTGGCAAGAGAGGTGTAGGGAATTGTGGGGGCGGAGTGTGTGCCGTGAGGGGAGAAATGGCTGGGCGAGAGACCGGGTACATGGGGAGGGATGCTAGAAGGAAGGCAAGGGCGCCGGCTGGAACGGCGCGGCAGGAGAGTGGCGAGGGCAGCGAGTTGGCGCTGGGGGGCATCAACCCGACGCGCGTCGGCGGGCAGCTGCAGTGGACGCCTGCGTCCTGGGGTCGTCGGGCCAGCAGAGATATCATATGCTCGGTTGCCACGCACGGCAGGAGTCAGGAAATGGTATGGCATACGCGTTTACACGCTTCCTGGAATGGTGTTGCAGCTCTGTGGCCAGGGTCCTTCTTGGGAATCATAGCTCCGACACGGGTTCACATGAATATTCCTTCTGTCTCGAGGCTGTTTGTGCACTGCCTCTGTCTCTTCGTGTCTGCGAGTTGAGCCACTTCTCACTGGGGCCATTCCCAAGGCACGGCTGGGATGCTGATCCGGACTCTGCTTGATTGTGAACACGATCTGGGTGCCATCTATACCTCCAGGGTGCCACAGCTGAGAGCGTAGCGTGCGTGAGGCCTCTCCGAAATCTCCTGGTGACCTTTGATCAGCAGGCGTTGCCCATAGGAGTCGTTGCTTCTCGCATTCCACCTGTGCCAGGGTCTCCCCCGCTGGACTCAAGACCTCCCCAAACTGGGTCCGCGTAGACGGGGTCGGAGGATCGTTCCGCACCGCCGATGCACCGGCGATGCGGCTCGATACGGAGCCCGATTTTCTCCTCGCCGGCGGCGCCGATGCATCGCCGACGTTGCCGATGCATCGCCCATGCATCGGCATTTTGTCGCGGTTCTCTGACTCCATTTGGGAGGACACCGTGAGCGCAGGCAGAGGTTCTGGCTTCGTTTGAAGACACCGCACCTCCACCCCCACCCCCACCTGGCCCCCCTCTCCCCTCCTCCTCCTCCTCCTCCTCATGTTCCTCCTCCTCCTCCTCCTTCTCCTCCTCCTCCTCCTCCTCCTCCTCCTCCCTGGGGCGGAACCACTGCGGACAGAGGGCCATGGTTACGCTGCATCTTCGGGGGAGATCGCCTGTCCCCCAAAATGGGTCTTGTCTTGTGCCCAGCGCGGATTCGACACGGAGTCGACGCTGATCCGACGAGTCCGACATGGATTCGACACGGCTTTGACGTGGATGGGGCCGTAACGGGACAGAGCAGGTCCCCCGAGGATGCAGCATAAAATCGGCGGGGTCGGCGGGGCTCTGTGGTTCCCCTGCTCTGAGGCTCCCTGCGCCGCCATCCGGGGCACGCCACAGGACCAGCGTGGTGCAGCCGGAGCAGGGCCACTGGCAGGTGGTGGGGGGCGGGGCTGGCAGGCCGAGGAGGGGGCCGAGCAGCAGCTGCAGCGTCGTGTGCGCTCGTTCACTGAGCCGTGCGTGCGATGCTGAGGCTGCCGGCGGCTCTTGGTACTCCTCCTTCACCTCCGCCCGAGCCTCCCTCCTCGTGTGTCCCCCGCCCCCTCCTCCCTGTCCTCCCCCTCCTCCCCCCGAGCGAACTCCCCTGGAAAGACAAAGTCCCGCCGCGCGCGGGCGTCCTGCGAGCTGCACCTAGTGCAGCACCTCGAGCTTGGGCCAGGCCTTGAGACCTGGAGGTAAACGACCTTGCGCCAACCTTTGAATGCTTTCCTCCCTCCCCCTCCTCCCCTTCCTTGTCCTCCTCCTCCGCCTCCTTCTTCTCCTCCTCAGCCGGGCAGCGCAGCCTGCAGGCTGCGCCGATTCGCTGAGCCGTGTGGGTGATGCTGCGGCTGCCGACGGCTCTTGGCAAGCCGGACGCGGGCGCCGCACAAGGTCAAGGTCAAGGTGGGAAGATGGAGGTGCAGCCAAGGCGCTGCAGTGTTCGAGGGCCACTTTGGGCTCTGTACTCCGGGCCGTTCCCGAGAGCTCGGTCGGGGAACCCGTTCGTGGCCACGGCAAGCCGCGGCCCGAGAAACCCTTCGATCCTTATCCAGCGCTCTTTCTGGTAGCACGACGACGGCATATGGCGCTGCATGGGGACATCACGGAGACAGCGCGCTGGCCCGATCCGATGGCAGATGCAGAAAGGAGTGCCATCACCAGGGCCTTGGCATCGTTCGGATGTGTGCATTTTTCCTTCGGCGAGGACCATCGAGGAGCATCCTTGATCATTTGGCGAAACAACCACGCACGAAACCGAACAGAAACACAGGGAATGGACGTCCGAGCGATGGCCAGGGGCAGATCACCCCTAGTACACCAGAGGGTCTGGTGCAGCACATGCCCGCAGGCGTCGTTACGGTACCGTCCCAAGACGCACCGTAATCTCCAGTTTACTCCTACGCGGAATTTCGACAAGGCTTGCGCAACGCGTGCCGACAAGGCAGGGTAATAGAGCGATGAGACGGATGAGGAGAAGGTGGAGGAGGACGGGGAAGTCATCAGCGGGCTTGCAAGTAGCACCGCGCTGCTCGCCTCCACGTGTCTTTTGGGATGGCGGCGGAGTCGGACCAGTCCACGCCACAATGAGCACGTGCGTTCAGGTCGTGCTCGTGAGCTTCTCGAGTCCACACCGCTCGGGCGCGAATCCAAGAAATCCGCGCGGACCGTCGAAAGTTTCTGTTCATGCAGTTTGCTCGCTCTCTTCTCTCCGCTTACCCGTTGGACACCTTTCTTCCTGACCTCGGCATCCTACGGATGCAACGACAGGGCCCGACGACGGCGGTGATGTCTAGGACCACGCAGAGTACATTGCCAGGCGCTGTCAAGATCCAGGAGCGTTGGTCTTCGCACAGAGCTCGCCCTCGCTTTTCGTGAACTTCTTCGCCTCAGCCTTCCTCGCGATTGGCAGGACGGTGGAATCATTCCGCCATTTTATCGAAAGTTTGGCTGGAACGTTATGTCGACGCCCCGCCACCTCCGCAGACCTTACTCGAGGTCGCGTGGAAATCAATCTCCCTCCGAACGTGGTCGCCGTGGGCGTCCAGTGCCTCGCGGACGCCCTTCGCCGCCGTCACTCTCCATACACCCATTGACGTGAGCAACGCGTGCTGTGTGTGGACTGCTCAGGAGGAGGAGGAGGAGGAGGAGGAGGAGGAGGAGGAGGAGGAGGAGAACTGGAGAACGGCCTCCCTGCCGGATGAGACGAGACCACGGGCCTCACAGCACGTCCGGCCCCTCTGCGGGGAGGCCGTGCTCTTCACGAGAAGCCCTGGTGAACGCGAAGGCCCGCACGCGGCCCGACGCGTGGAGGTCAGTGCGAGACGGGCTTCTGGCAGTGGATACGCCACCCGCCGTGCCGCGTGCACGACGGCGCCCCGCATGGGGCGGGCGCCTCTGGGGCACCCCCACGGCGGCCGACGCGCCAGGTCAATGCGACGAGGCGGTTGGCCAGCCACATGCTACCAGCCTGGAACATATCCCTATCCCTATGCTGGGCACCTCCTCATCACGATGCCAATCTTGGGGATTCCCGTATGTTTTGAGGGCGAATCCCTAAGATTGTCATCGCCTTTTGGCGTGTCAATCTTAGGGATAGGGATACGTTCGAGGCTGGTAAACATGGGGCACCTCTGGGACTGCAGCGGGATCTTCCCGCCGGGAGGCGGACGTCGTGATGCAGCGCTCGCTCGGACACGACGTCAAGGCGTTGGTGCAGGCACTCGTGCACATGATCTCCGAACGCATCGGCATTCGGCTTGCGGACGCCTCCCCGGCGGACTCCACCTCAGTAGCGATATGTCAGGCGATGCGCTTTTGCAGACTCGGGGCAGAAGGCCGCCCTCACAGTGTGCACGAGACCGTTCAGTGAGCGCCCAGGGTTTGGAGAACCTGTGCCCCAGGATAGCGTCTTAGAGGCCTTGTGTTGTTGCGCCTGCAGTGTCGCCCTGGCGAAGAAGCGTCGCATCGTACATTGGAGCGCCGCCAGGTCGACGCCGTCGAACGCCTCCGCTTTGTCAAGAGCAGGGGAAATAAGCTTAGCGCCAACTATTGCCCGAGTTCCAAGCAGAAACTGGCGGACCATGAATCAGGCAGCAGTGGTCCCGCATTTGGATGTGAGTCCAAATTGCGTCGGCCAGATGCGCTCCTCGGCGTCTGGGTTTCAGACGCTAGAGAAGTATGCAGGCGTACGGCGGGCAATATGTAAACGTACTTTAGGAGGCAAGTCGCCTTGTACGTTTACCTCAGCCCAGAAAAAGTCAGCATCGCGGAAGTCAAGGCGGGCGCCCTAGACCACATCTTCATTCTGCATCCTCCGAGCCGGACCGATCTGTGATGGCCTTGGGGCTCGAAATTGGGCGAAAACGCCCGGTTGGAAAAAGTTGCACTGTCTGGAATTTAGGGATTGACTCGTTTTTTTTTCGGGGTGGCCGCCACCACCAACTCTTGCCACGCTTCAGGAACGACCGTCTCCTCCCAGCGCTTATTTGCACAGAGTTGCGGCCTCGCGGGCCTTGGGAGATCCAGGCGACGCCATGGCATTCTAGAAATCGCCTGACACTGCGCGGGATCCAGAAGTGTTGTCCCACTTCGTCCTCCTCCTTTGCTTCGAAGAAAAGATCTAGATATCTTGAGTCGGCGCTGGAACCCCCTGGCGGCGCCTCTGCCGGCGCCCCTGCCTCGCTCCGCGCGCCAACGAGTGGCCCAGCGCTGATCCAACAAATCCGCGCGGACTTCCAAAATATTCTGTGTATCCATTCTTGTTTGCCCTTCCATTGCCGTTGCTGCGGGCGCACCCTCGCTAACGGTGACCAGACCAAGATTGTCCGCAAGAGCTGGCCGCATCGGGGGCCGGTTTCTGGTCACCGCCCCCGCGCGCCCATCCGGTGCCGAGCCAGGTTGGTTTTGCGGGTTGGTGTGAAATAGTCATCGGTCGTTGAGCGTAGTTTTTTTTTGATTCCCAGGTTCCAATCTACTCTGAGCGCCATCCTACTTCAGTGACCGAGTGGCTTCACCTTTTCCGTCCTCCTCAGGGGGCGGACAGAATCCGATCTTCTTTCAACGCCTTCCCACTTCATGTGTCTACCTACTTCTTCCGACCGATGGGTAATCGTGTCACCATGGGGTGCCATTTTTGCACCTTAGTTGCCACGATACGCCCGCTGTGAAACGCAACACGTCCCGTGTTCAAGACGTCCGTGCCAATACGTTGCGTGTTGGCTTCACGTATTGGACCACAAGTTTGCGAATGTATCGCGTCGGACCAACGTTTTCAGCCTACGTGTTGAGCTGCGTATCAATACGCTACGTGTTGCGTGTTGCGTATCGGTGCACTTAAGTTTTGCACACGACCCCCGCTCCACGGTCGTATGCCGGACCAGCTTGCTTGGTGGGGGCGGTGTGCAAAAGCCGTGCGCCCACACCAGGGGCTTGCCTCGCATGGCCGTGGTCTCACCGGTTGCCCCTTGCGCCTCGGCAAAGTTCCTTCGCCATTTTCGCGACGAGCGACTCCGAGTCAACGATGCTCCCCTGGAGGTTCCGAAGCTTGCCTTGCGAGGGGCGGAGTCCTCTCCGTAGCCGTCGCGCCTGCGCCAAACCGCCAGTCGCCAAGGCTCAGACATTTGACTTCGCAATTCTGTCGGTCTCCCTGGCCTCAGCATCGTTTGACCGACCCCCATCCCCATCCTCATCCCTTTCGAGACCCCCACCACATTACCACCCCAGTTGGGGATACACCCCTCGAAACCCGAAGGGGATGGCCTATATCCCCATCTGGGGGGGTAATCGGCCAGTGGGGCCCAGGCCACGCCGCTGGGGATGGGGGTCGGATACACGATGCTCAGGGCCTCTCGGGGACTTCCCCGACTTCCCCGTGGCAAGCTGTTTGTCCTTAGTTTGCTTTTGACGGTTCGAGCGCGGGGGCCCCCAGAGGGCGTGACGTGGCGCCAGACCATCCGTCTTGATTTATTCGAGCCGTTGGATGTCTGGGGGGGACCTCCCAGCCGCGCCGCCGATCTGTGAGCCGTGACGGACCTCGCCACTGCAGTGCCGAGGTTCAGAAGACGATCCTTGGAGCCTTCGAGTGTCACCCAGTCCGGCTTTCCTGCGCCTCCGGTGGTCCGCAGTGGGGGGCCATTGGAGCAGCCACTGGAGGCCGCTGGAGGCTCGCGGGGGACCACTGGGGGCCACTGGGCCACTGTGAACCGCTGGAGGAGCCGCTGCGGCCACCCAGGTGATTACGAAAGGCTCCCAGGAGCTGGGACTTCTGCCTTTTGTAGTCCACGCAGCGCCCCGCATCTCCTTCCTCCTCCCTCCTTCCTCCCTCCCCCTCCCATCCCTAACTCGCCCGTCCGCGTGCTAATTTCGGCATCCTGCTCACATCTCGCACGTTTCGTAGACCCAGAGGGAGCCCCACCGAAGGCCCCCAGCTGCAGCGCCCGCATGGTGTCACCCCGCCAGTTTCGCCACTGCTCTCGCACGCCGCGTGGCCCTCTGGAGAGCCCCAACGATGGCCCCAGTGGCAGTGCGTGCACAGAGTCACCCCGAGCATCTCGGCACACTCCACTCCGACTATTTCGACACACCCCTCTCCTCCTCCTCCTCCTCCTCCTCCTCCCTCCTCCTCCTCCTCCTCCTCCTCCTCCTCCTCCCCCTCCTCCTCCTCCTCCTCCTCCTCCTGCTCCTCCTCCTCCTCCTCCTGCTCCTCCTCCTCTTTATTCCACCTGCCTTGCGGTATTCACACTGGCCAGGATGATTCCAGGTCCACCTTGGAAGAGGGCTTGCGAGAGGGTGGGCTGGAAGTGTCGGCAGGGCGGGGCAGGAGCCTCTGGCCCAGCCAGCCAGGAGCCGAAGGACGGAGCGTAGCCCGCCCCTGCGGGCGGGGGGCTGCTCAAGAGACAGGCCTATCCGTGTGATGTGTGGAGAGGGCAAGGGTAGCAGTGTAGCACGGCGAGGCATGACTTTCTCGGGATGCCCGGCCGAGCCACGCGGCAGCGGCAAGGTGGACATCGTCGGCGTACACATCGGCGGCCGGACCCTTGACGTCTGCCGCGGAGGAGGCTGCAGGTCTGGAGGGCGGGCGTTGTGCTGCATAGCGCCTAGTACCCATGATGTCCACTTCGATTCGTCACGTGTCAGAGAGCGACCCCTGCCGGCAAATCGTGGTCCGTGCCTCGTGTCGTGCGCGATTTGCGCAGCGCGCGCGCGCTTCTGTGCACACGGGTTGCCAATATGTGAGGACTCCGTGTGGACCCGCATCCTCCCGTCGTTGCTACTGTTGTGATGTGCGTTGGTTTGGTGCGGTGCGATGCCGTTTCAGGCTGATGATAGGAAAATGATGATGATGAGGAGGCGGACGAGGAGGAGAAGGAGAAGGAGGATGTCGATCTTCAACGAGGTGTGTAGCGGGGGACTTGGTACCACTTTGACCGTTGCCATGGAGATCTTCCATTTTACACTGACGGAAAACGGTTGTTTGTCCACTGGTGGCGGACGATGGTGGTTTGGTGTTTTTGCTCATGCGGTGATGGCAGCTGGGTGCAAACGCGGATGAGATTTGCTTACGAAACCGCCCCCGCGACCAGGGGCGTCATTGACACCGGCACATCTCAGCTTGCCGTGCCGTCCCCGCACGAGAAGAACATCCTGGAGATGCTCACGGTGCTTGCCGGGGGGGGGGTCATACACAGGGCTCAAGCGATGTTGCAAGGATGCGCAAGACAGTGTCCATCTATTCGACCAGCGCGTAGGCTATATCATCAATGCCCAGCTTAGGAGATTGAGTCAGATTCGCTTCGGTTGGCTAGTGTCAGCTCGCCAGGGGTTCCAGCAAATTCTGCATTTTGAAGCCCGCTTAGCGGAAGTCACCGCGGGCTTTCAGCGCAAGAACTAGCACGCAGATTTCCCAATCAGTGAGTATTCGGGGGTCTCAACAAGCATGTGGCCGATCATTTGGGGTTGTCTTGTGGCCCTTTTGGAGCCGTGTTGTGGGCCCGCTTGGGGCCCTCTTCGGCTGTATTTGTGTTATCTTCGGAACTCGTCGTCCATCTTCGTGTTCCTTGAGTGGTCTGGGTGTTGTTTTGAAGGGTCTGGAGGTTCTCAGAGGGAGAGTTGGGGCCGTCTTGGGGCGGTACTTGGCTGTATTCCGAGGGCCCCGCGTGGGTGCTCTGGCGCGTCATTTGAATACGCTCCGAGGCCTGTGGAATCCTAGAGTCTCTTGGGGCCGTCTTCGGACTTGTAGGAGTGGCCATGTCCGAGTCACTGTCTGACATCCAGGCTGATCTCGGTGTCTTGACCATCGTCGACCCATCTTGGGCCCACCCGAAGCCATAGTACGCCACGTTGGAAGCCCAGGATGGCCCCTTGAGAGAATCCATCGGCAATGAGGAGTGCGCGACGTCCTCTCTCGGGGCCCTGGTAAAAAAGGGGTTGCAAGCCAGGACTTTCCAAGTTCGATAATGCAGATTGTATCGACCCAAGGGTGCAGTTTGCACACCCCCTACATCGGAGATTTCGCAGGGGAGGTCAAGCTGAAACTGAGGCGGGGTCCGTCGGTTCATCATCTGTCTGGTACAACAAATTCACGCATTTCCACGTGCACAGGGCCTTATTGTTTGGGCACCTCCCGCGGGGACGGTGGATTGTTTCCTCGGCAGGGGCAGGCGTCCCGCAGAGCTCCATAGTCCGCCCGGCGCGGAGGCGGGTTAGCAAGCATCCGGCCCGAAATGGCCCCAAGGAGCCCGTTCGGCAGTGGCCTCCGCCTGGCGCGGGGGCAGGATTGAGTGTATCCGTCCTACGTTGGCCCATGGTGGCCCTCTTGGCCAGAAGCCCCCGAGGTGGCCTCGCACTGGCCTCGCGGTCTGGGCCCAGACAGGCGAGGCGCTCAAAGCCCGCGCTCTTTGTAATTCTGGTCTCCATGGTGGCGTCTCCGTTTTTGAGTCGGTGCGGGGGCGTATCGCAAGGGGCTCTCTCGCCCGCCGCACCGGCAGCGTCCTGGCTGATGGCCCAGCGCAGGCGCGCCCACTCCACCAGAGGAGAGGGCAGTAGATTTTCTCCCGGCTGCGACAAACGTCCTGGTTGTTCAATGTCGCCGTCTACGGCGCGAGGAACGATACCCGACTTCAACCCAGCTCCATCCCAGGCTGTTTCATACAACCAT